GGTGATGGGCATCTTGGTTGTTTCCAAGATTTGGCTATCACAAATTGTGCTGCTATAAACATGGGCACACATATATCCCTATGATATGATGTTTTAAGATCCTCTGGGAAATTTCCCAGTAGAGGAATAGCTGGTTTAAATGGGATTTCCAGTCCAACTTTTCTAAGGAGTCTCCACACTGATTTCTATAATGGTTGCATAGGTCTACATTCCCACCAGCAGTGGAGAAGGGTTCCTTTTTCCCCACAGTCTCTCCAACATTTGTCATTGGGTGATTTCTTTATGATAGCCATTCTTTCAGGGGTGAGATGATCTCTCAATGTGGTTTTAATTTGCATTTTGCGGATGGCTAGTGATATGGAACATTTTTGCATATATTTATTTGCTTCTTTAATTTCATCCTCTGAGAAGCATGTGTTCATCTCGGATGCCCATTTCTTGATTGGGTCTTTAAATTTTAGGGCCCTAGTGTTTTATAGTTCTTTATGAATTCTAGAGAGCAGACCTTTGTCTGAAGAATTATTTGTCATGATTTTTTCCAAATTTGTGGGTTGCCTTTTCACTTTGTTGGTAATTTCTTTTGACATGCAAAAACTTCTCAATAACAGCAGGTCCCAGTTGTTAATTCTTGCAACTGTTTCCTGTGTGATTTGATTTCTGTTCACGAAGTCTTTGCCTACCCCTATGTCTTCAAGAGTTCCACCTACTTTCTCTTCCAGGAGATTTAGTGTCTCTGCTTTAATGTTTAGATCTTTAATCCATTTTGACTTTAGTTTAGTGCATGGTGATAGACCTGGGTCAAGTTTGAGTTTTCAGCATGTAGAGAGCCAGTTTTTCCAACACCATTTGTTAAAGAGGCTATCTTTCTTCCAGTGAGTATACTTGGCCCCTTTGTCAAAGATAAGGTAGCTGAGTGTGTTCGTAGGGGCTTCAGCGTCTTCTAATCTATTCCATGGATCCTCAGGTCTATTTTGTTGCCAGTACCATACTGATTTTATCACAGTAGCCTTATAGTATAATTTCAAGTCAGGAATTGTAATACCTCCTACCTTGTCTTTATTGCCCAGGATTGCCTTTGCTATTCTAGGTTTTTCTGGTTCAACATAAATTTTAGGAAGGATTTGTCTATGTCTGTGAGGTATGTTTGTGGTAGTCTGATAGGGATTGCATTATATCTGTACAAAAATTTTGGGAATATAGCCATCTTCACAATGTTGGTTCTTCCTATCCAGGAGTATGGAATATATTTACATTTTCTGAAATCTTCTACCATCTCTTTTTTCAGAGTACTGTAATTTTTCTTGAAAAGATCTTTGACTTCTTTAGTTAGATTAATTCCAAGGTATTTCATTTTCCTCGGTGCTATTGTAAAAGGTATTATTTCTATAATTTCCTTTCAGTGTATTTGTTGTCTGTGTAGAGGAATGCTATTGACTTTTGGGTATTGACATTATATCCTGCTATGCTACTGAATTTCTGTATTAATTCTAGTAGCCTCTTGAAGGAGTTTTTTTGATCTTCCAAGTAAAGTATCATGTCATGTGCAAATAAGGATAATTTAACTTCTTCTTCACCTATTCTTATATCTTTTATTTCTTTCTCCAGTCTAATGGCTGTAGCTAGTGATTCCAGAACTATATTGTATAGTAGTGGTGATAGAGGATATCCTTGTCTTGTACCAGATCTAAGAGTAAAAGATATAAGTTTTCAGTTTTTCCCCATTTAGGATTATGTTAACCATTGGGTTTTCATAAATGGCTTTTACCAGATTGAAGTAGAGGCCATCTATTCCAATTTTCTGTAGGACTTTGAACATGAATGAGTGTTGGAATTTGTCAAA